ATCTCTGTACTGTATTCGCACTTACCATCAGGCGCGGTGCAGTCATTTTGCCGAGTCACAATAAAAAAAAAAATAGTGGACGACAGTAATGCTGACATTACTGCTTGGCGGCAGAAATAGGCAAGGTGGCAGTACTTCCCTGGACGAACTCTTTCACAAGGACCTCTATTACTACTAAAACGAGTACACTACCGTTAGTGTATTTAGAACAAAAATATACGAGTCTTTGTGCTTCGGCATCGGCTTGTTTGAGCGGTCACTCTCTAAATTCGTTGCGATAATAACATAAGTAAACCGTGCCTTAACATTACGTAAGTGTTTGTCGGTGACACGCAAAAAAATGTCAACAGCTATGTCAAAACTAGTTATGATGTATTACCGGCTGTTTAACGACTGTTAGGGAATCACCACATTTATCAATAGTCCGAAATGACGTTTTCCAGAAATTACGTTTGCTCGAATTTTCATAACTTTTAAACCGTTTTGTTTTTGTTGATCCGGGGGAATCTGGTTACAGATTCGGCCCCACGGGGCAGAGCCGGGGTTATGTGTGACTGGGCTGAACCTTAATAGGGAGCAGTCCGACCGCACTAAAGAAAGACCGGAGTAGGTGGGGGTACGGGTACGCTATTGCACTCGTCCGCGCCCCCCACCAGCGGCTGGCCGCGCCCTGCGCAACCCCTCTCCGAGAAGGGAGACAAGTCGGTCCCCCGACTCCGAATATGAGGCTCGAACAGCAGAGTGGGGGCCAGGACAGCATCCACTCAACTGGGAAGTTCAGTGGCCGCGCGTAGAGATCTCTATGCGCGGTGCAGCCCCGTCAGAGTCGGGAGGACAGGACGAGCGGCAACGACACACCGACACGTCTCTCCCCATCTCCCGCGACCCTGCTCCCAGCGCGCATACGCGCAGTCCCGCTGACCAAACAAGCTGAGGCCAGCATACCACCATCGGCCGGCCCCGTGAGTTCCTCTTAGCTTCACCGTGGTATGAAATCGACCACGGCTACTAGAGCCCATAGTATCAGTAGAGCACCTGTGAAAGAGCTCGTCCAGGGAAGTACTGCCACCTTACCTATTTCTGCCGCCAAGCAGTGATGTCAGCATTACTGCGTTCCGGTTTAGAATGATAAAGGCGCGTGTACACGCTGAGGAATTCGACGTGTCTGCTACAGAAAAGAAGAGAATGGTCTTGTACACGACAAGAACTTTGTCGGATCTAGTAGCCACGAAAACATGTCTGTTGCAGACGACTAAATGATGAGTATGTACACGATACGATTGCTTTCGGACAGTGTGTAGGGTAAAATACATATGTCAGTGCATTACGAGTCTTCCAGGTAGTTGTCGTTTTACTACCGACTATAGGAAGAAATATATTGACTACTACACAACAACGCAACACCCGTCCACGCGCATAAACTTTCATTTACTGATTAAGCATCTCACCCCGCCCCATACAATAGCGGCAGAGCGCGTCGTGTCGGGGGTTGACAAGATTTTTTTCTTGTCCGGCGCCGAGGCAGTGTACACAGTTCGAGTGTAGAAACGACACGAATTCTTACATAAACCCGGCGACTTTCCTTAGCGTGGAGACAAGCCCTAAGGATGCTGGTGTAGCTACAGGCACGTGAGACTTGGCAACTTAATGGCTCAGGATGAGTGGCGCAGAGGCAGTGCCCATAACATCTTTTTCGATTTAAAGCCTTGAATGGTACTACAACTGTTATAGATAGGCGTGTCGCTTACCACTGAGCCGGAAAGACAAAATATCAATAAAATTTTAATCACACAAATTTTGTTTACTAATTGGTAATGTTTACTAATAGTATATTTTCTCTATTGCCCACAGAGATGCGTGAGAGTACAGCGACGTGACAGGATGACAAAGGACGGTTGAGGCGCGCGAGCGCCGCCACCACAAACCTAACACACACATCATGTCGTTCTTCAACAACCTGAGAAAGGTATTGTTTTTTTCAGCATACACACTCATAGGCCTAGTGAAACCCTGTGGCGCGGGTGCCATGGACACGCACATAGACAACGACAAATTACACCCAAACTCACGAGAGAAATAAATGTAGGCCATATAAATATTTCCCCCGGCCCGGGAATCAAACTTGGAACCTCTGCATGGCAGACAAGCATGGTAACCGTTCGACCACAGAGGCAGTTTTTGTTTTTTTTTAATCTACCTATAATGACGTCATCGAATTCAGTAAAATTTCGTAGTCGATTGTATGCAATTCCCGGCCTTGGTGTGAAAATAACAACTTTTTAAGAGCGAGTTTTAAAGATTCTACAAATTAATAGGAAATGAAACTATTTTTCCGGATTTAAATCGCGTATATTTGTTTTTTCAAACAAACCGACGTTTCGGGAAAGAAACAAATATACGCGATTTAAATCCGGAAAAATAGTTTCATTTCCTATGTGTAACAATCGCGAAAACCTAAGAACTCGATATCTACGAATTAAATTAGTCGACAACTTTTTATGCTTAAATATTATTATATTGTATGCGAGACCCGAAACTTGTGTCAGGATAGAGTAAGGTGGCGTTCCGTGGTTTCTGCCTACCCCTCCTGTGGGACGTATGTATATATACGTAAGTATAAGACTTACAAAGCTATAGTTCAGAATTGCGTTGTTTTCAGTAATATTACCATACCATCTCAGGCAGCCGTGACTATGGGACCTGTAAATGCTCGAAACGTTGGTTTTGTTTAAAAAAAAAATATACGCGATTTAAATCCGAAAAATTAGCTTCATTTCCAAAGTATACAAAATGACTAAAACTGCCACGCCCTGGTTAAACTAACCACTTCAACTGTTCCGGTCTGATTAAAACACGCCTGTATAAGGGCTCTAGTTCGGTATTTAATATATATACATAGTTACTACATACGTTACGATCGTGTATAGAAGTGCCGCTTTACATATTTCTGACGCCAAGCAATAATAATGTGAGTACTGCTGCGTTCAGATTTTGAAGAAAAAGATTCATCCTATGGCAGGGCAAAGAGTATTAAATTTATCAATGCATATTTTAAGCTATTACAATTGTAATAAGGTATAAATCTTAATGCTCTGAGGCGCAGAGAAAAATGCGTTGCGATACTCTGAGGTCGGTTCCAAGAGCAGTGCAATTGATACCTTATTTTCATTCAAGTAAAATGTATATTGATAAATTTAAGGTCCTCTGCCTTCCCGCCCGCCGGTTTGTCCCTAAGAGTGCTAGTGAAATTATAGGCACATGGAACAATTTAGTAGCAGTAGAGGTCTTTGTGAAAGAGTTCCTCCAGGGAAGACTGCCACCTTACCTATTTCTGCCGCCAAGCAGTAATGTAAGCATTACTATGTTCCGGTTTAGAAATTACAGGCACATGGGACTTGTCGACTTATGTCTCAGGGTGACCGGCGCAGTGGCTGTGCCCATAAAATGTTTGCGATTTAAAGCTCTGAATGGTACTACAACTGTTATAGATAGGCGTGTTGCTTGCCATTACCACAATGTGCGTAAGCCTTTAGAATATTTATGTACTTTGAGTTATTTCTTGTTATCGATAGTGAATTTATCGAGTTCTTAGGTTTTCGCGATTGTTACACATAGGAAATGAAACTATTTTTCCGGATTTAAATTTTACAATAGAAATTAGAATAAACTTTATTCTAATTTCTATTAATAATTAATAATAAATTAAACTTAATAAAAATTCATTCAATAAAATAATTTGTAACACTTAATGTAGCGTAAATTGGAATGTTTTCTTTGTAAAATTAAAAATAAGGTATTTAATTAATAACTATTGTAACTATAGTGAAAAAATAGGGTGGTTTGCATTAATATTATACATAACTGGTTGAAGACTGTACCACCTCAGTCAACCGTGACCATGGGACCTGTAAAGGGCCCGAAACGTCGGTTTGTTTGAAAAAACAAATATACGCGATATAAATCCGGAAAAATAGTTTCATTTCCGATAGTGAATTTTTGGTCACGATTGGCCGCACCTAAAATCTGGCCGCCCTAGGCCCGGACCTACTGGGCTTTAGGGCAAATCCACCACTGCTTGTAGGGCTAGCATGATAAGGCGCAACTTGAGCGAGAGCGACATAAAAATCAATAGAAATCAAGCGCTCTATGTCGCTGTCGCTTAAGTCACGCCTCTTACTACGGCACACATAGTGTTGGGCATTTTGTCTTTAAGAATAATTCCGCGTAATACTATATCCAATACTGTTATATTTGCCTGCAGGTGCTGCACCTTGGCAGCGGTCACGATGCGAAAAAGAAAAAAGTCTTCAACAACATCCGCGACAACTGCGACCCCAAAGAGAATTGGGACATGATAGGGGAGCTCGGAGATGGCGCGTTTGGAAAGGTAAGTGTGAAGTCCGGTCGTATACGGAGTATAGTTACCACACATGCGGCGGTTCTGCTAAATACCAATTGCCTGCCAAGAGGCTTATAGTGGACTCGGAATTAGTAGAGGTGAAGCTGCAACGCTTTGAACATCGCTGTAAAGTTTCCTACTCGGTTTCTACAGGATATATCACGAAGAGTGTGCGGTCATCCAGGGAGCAGGCAAAGGCTGAAGTTAACCCCTATGTCGTGGATATTATTCCAAAGATTCGCACGAAGCGTTACGCTCCCACTTCAAAAAAGTAAATAAAATAATAATAATCTCAGTACAGAGTACTAAAAAAACCGACCTCAAAAGTGCGTGGAATTACGTCTATTTGCTAAGTTTTATTGAAACATCCTTAAATTCGCCACTATACAGGACTTGACTGGAGATATTAAAAATCGGTTCTCACTACTCAAAGTATATTGAGAGAGAAAAACGCCTTGAATTGGAGAATAGCAAAATCAACCATTAAAATAATTGCTCCTTAAGTAAAATTTAGGCGCTATTTACAAAAATGAATCTTCATGCGTGAACCTTTATAGGTAGATGATTTTCTTGAAAATGAAATGGGACCACTATGGAAGTACCCCGTTTCCAACAAAAAAGAATCATGAAAACCGGTTCACAAATACCGGAGTTATCGCGTAACATGCATACAAAAAAAATACATACAGCTGAATTGAGAACCTCCTCCTTTTTTGAAGTCGGTTAAAAACGTCATTTTATAAGCTACTGCTCGTTCACTGTGCTGACTTCCCTGAGAAAAACGACCTAGAAACTCTTGGGATTGCTCTTTTCAAATCACTTAAATGCTATGGAATACAGTTGAAATCATACTTGTATGGAATCTAGAGTCATGTTGTCTTTCCATACATCTTTATCTAACACATAGTCTTCAGTTTTGTAATATGACTTTTCTATGAAAATACTTTTAATGTAAGTTTTAAACTTAGGAATCTTAATATATGCTCCGGAATTTTATTGTAAAAACGTATACTGTTCCCCATAAAAGACTCTTCTAATCTCCCTTTCCAGGTGTACAAAGCTCAGCACAAAGTTACCGGGCAGCTGGCGGCCGCAAAAATGTGCGTCCTGGACAACGAAGACGACCTGGCGGACTTCACGGTCGAGATAGACATTCTATCGGAGTGCAGGCACCCCAACGTCGTCGAGTTGCACGAAGCCTATTTCATTGATAATAAATTATGGGTAAATACTTCTAGAATTAACTGCCTCAGTGGTCGAACTATTTCCATGCTGGACTGCCGTGTAGAGGCAGTAGAGCCCGTTGTCAAAGAGTTCGTCCAGGGAAGTACTGCCACCTTAACCATATCTGCCGCCAATCATTAATGTCAACATTACTGTGTTCTGGTTTTAAAGGGTAATTAATGGTGCTGGTGAAATTACTGGCTCATGGGACTTGTCAACTTAAGTCTCAAGGTGGCGGGCGCAGTGCCCCTCAGATCTTTGCGATTTACCTGTCCAGAAGCCCCGTGTCGCGGGTGCCATGGACACACACATAAACAACCACAAATTACACCCAAACTCACGAGAGAAATAAATATAGACGATACAAACATTTCTCCCGGCCACGGAATCAAACTCGGGACCTCTGCGTGACAGGCCAGCATAGTAAACTTCAGCCACGGAATCAGAATTACATCCAAATCCATATTCCCCGATTTAAGATGACGTAACAGGTCTATCTGGAAGTCTTTATCATTGAAACATTTATTACAGATGCTGCTGGAATATTGCGATGGTGGCGCTTTGGACTCAGTAATGGCGGAGTTAGAGAAAGGCCTAAATGAGCAACAGATCGCCTACGTCTGTAGAGAGATGTGCCGAGGACTGCAGTTCCTACACTCGCAACGTGTCATACATCGGGACTTGAAAGCTGGCAACGTTCTTGCTACTATGACGGGTGGTGTTAAACTTGGTAAGGGTTATGGTTCATTTAATGGCGGCCGCTTGGCTTACGCCAGTGTCAATTATATAGACGAAATAAGGGCCATCCATCCCCAGGCAAATGGGCCTTATTTCACTTTTTACCAATATATAGACCAATTCTCGTTTGCACTGAAATAACAAAAATTAGAAAGCTGAAATAGTACAGCGCCAACAATTGATCTGTGTGTACGTCTATATATATTCCAAAAATATTCTGTATTTATTAACCGACTTCAAAAAAGGAGGAGGTTCTCAATTCGACTGGTTTTTTTTTGTATGTATGTTACGCGATAACTCCTGTATTTGTACACAGATTTTCATGATTTTTTTTTATCTATGTACCTCCACAATGGTCTCATTTAATTTTGAACAAAATCATCCACCTCTAAAAGTAGCTGTTCACGCATGAATTCATTTTTATAAATAGCACCAAAATTTTATTATAAGGAGCAATTATTGTAATGGATGATTTTGCTATTCTCTAATTCAAGGCGTTTTTCTCTCTCAATATACTTTGAGTAGTGAGAACCGATTTTTATTATCTCCAGTGTCAAGTTCCGTATAGTGGCGAACTAAGGGATGAATCGGGGTTTGCGCACTTTTCGGTAACCTATTTCAAAAAAACTTGACAAATAAACGTAATTCCACATACTTTTGAGGTCAGTTTTTTTAGTACTCTATACTGAGATTAATGTAATAAAGATAATATCTTTAATAATGAGGGGCTGTGCCATTCGGCGGTGTGGGAAAAACAACAAAACATCTAATTACAAAACAAACGGAATCACTTATCATCGGTTATCTCTGGTACTCATAGTACAGGGATAATTGGTGTCGTCGGCACGTTATTATAATATTATACATGCCGTTACAGGGTTCGATCTGTTGACTTTCTCAACTGTGGAACAGCCTTGTAGCCACGGAAGAAAAAAAAAAAGGAAATGCCTTAAGCCTCGATTCTTACCAGAACCGATGTCGCCAAAACTCACTTCACTCACTTCTTAAGTTAAAACTATATAATTTGAGCTTTATTATTAATACCTATTCTTGCAACTTACGACGTTTTGATATTATATTGAAATTTCAATCAATGTGCTGCCATGTAGCGGTTAATTGCAGAACGACGACGATTTGGAGTTCTTTATTTAGTTCTCCAAAAAAGAAGCGACCATATTGCAGGGTATAAGTTTTACTTTCGTTTATTTCTTGTAACAAAAAATGATTTCGATGAACAGAAAATTGAGTAAAATAAGACTTGCCGATGTCAAATACCACTACGGGTAACATTTTTGCACTCTAAAACAGCGCAACAAGGCATTTTTCTAGGACTTTAGAGAATTTGCACGAAAGAATTGACAACCATAGCGTACTAAGTCAAAATGGCGGACTGAAACCAAGTAGGTCTAACGAGGCTCCCTGTCCGCACGCATGAGACGCTAACTAACCACTTCTACTGTATTTATTGTTTTGTGCTTGTACCACTGCTCTATATTACGGTAATGATAATCTAAAGTGATATTTTCTTCCCAACAGCGGACTTCGGCGTCTCTGCAAAGAACAAGTCAACACTGCAGAAGCACGACACCTTCATCGGCACGCCTTACTGGATGGCACCCGAAGTAGTGCTCTGTGAGACTTTCAGGGACCACCCTTATGATTTCAAGGTTAGAGCTCATTTTACCAGTATTTTATTCTATATTTTTAGGGAAACTATTATTTTTTGAAGACGGAGTAAAATGACAGTTCATTGAGCAAAAGTTGCTCACTTGCAAGCAACTAGCTAGTGATTGCAGTCGATAAATATTATATCGACTATCGACTGAACATTGGTTACCTTTCTATAGGCGAAATTGTTTCATTTGAATCTCCTCGACCCGTTATCGTGCAATTACTGACGGGGGTTTTGAATTCACTGAACTTACTCACACAGAGTGATCATCTAATACATCATCATAGATAATCTAAGATATATAGGATTTTATAATACTTTATCTGAGTAGAAGCTTTGCCGAATAAAACTGAGAAATGCTAGTCAAGTGTTATGCGCATTTCAGTGAATCCAGAACTTTAAAACGCTTCCCTGTAAACTTAGCAATTTCCACATATGATACTTTACGTAGGAGGGGTCGCATTAGTAAGGTTACCTACCAGCAGTTCGAAATGTCATTTTCCAGAAATAACGTTTGGTCGAAATTTCATAAACTCGAAAGTAATTTTGAGAGGAAAATGTTTATTCTTTTAAACCTAACTTAACCCAACCTAACCGAACCTAATCGTGTCTTTGCGATAAACATTCAACATATCCTGATCCATATCATTTTACTATATCTTAAAAGAAGACAGACTATAACAGCTAGGTGTTTAAATGGTTACAAAAATAAATATTAATCACCAATTACAAGTTTCCGCGGATAATTTAACAGTTAAAATTGACATTAGAATGGTGTACAAATTTTGAATATTAACTGGAATCTTGTTATAAAAGCGTATGTAACGTACGTGAGCGTAGCATTTCTTCTTGAGCGAATTTGTGTCTGTTTTCGTATTGATGATGTTTATTAGTAAAGAAAAATGCTATTGTAATTAAGTTTATTGTCAAAGTCAAATAATCATTTAGTCCATTAGGTAAAATTTTCACACTTGAAAAAGTTATTTTTAAACTACAGCTCGTTCGCTACGCTGACCTCCCTGAGAAGAACGATCAAGAAACTCAAGGGATTGCTCTTTTCAAATAAACTTAGTTCCTATGGAATACACTTTGAATCATAATTGTGTGGAATGCACTCTTGTTGTCTTTTCATACTTCTTTATCTAACACATATTATTCTTCAATTTTATAATATGACTTCAATTTAAATTACTTTTTATGTAAGTTTTAAACTTAGGAAATGATTATCTTAATATATTCTCTGGAACCTTATTGTAAAAACATTATTCTCCGGAACCTTATTGTAGAAACGTATGCAGTTCCACATAAAAGAATTGTTTACCTTAGTTAATTGAATTGTATGTCAGGATGTTTAGATAACCATGATATTCTACTATTTTTTGTGAAATTACTCCACTAATAAAAATACTTTGTTTCTTTTAAATACTTTACAGTAGCAAATTGACGCCTGAATCTACTAATTATTACTCCACTAGTTTGTTATAATTATTAATACAAATATCAAACACCAAAAATAAATTCCTCCGATCAGGCTGGATTCGAACCAACGTCTTTTAGCAAACCGTGGCAGACGCTATACCAACTAAGCCACGGAACGAACCAGCGGATCTTACGAATTTTTCTATGCGCTTGTTAAGAAAATAAAATAAAGATCTGCAACAAGCACCGAAGAGTGGTTAAAATAAAAAATTACATTACATTGTTTTTATGTCCAAATACTGACCCCTGACATGTTTCCAGGTGGACATCTGGTCATTAGGAATAACCCTAATAGAGTTTGCGCAAATGGAGCCCCCTAACCACGAGATGACTCCTATGAGGGTGCTATTAAAGATCCAGAAGAGCGACCCGCCCACACTGGAGCAGCCGGCGAGGTGGAGCAAAACATTCAATGATTTCATCGCAAAGGCACTTGTTAAGGTAATAATAGTACATTATTGCAGAGGCCGGGAAGTAAGGGTCAGTTGGATGAGTATTAGTTACAAGTGTATTAATTGTATTAATAAGAGTCTAGCAATCCCCGTTCCCGCCGAAGCATATATAGTATTTTTCTCAAACATTGTGAGGAAATAATAAAAGACTGAAGGGAGGAAGATGTCTAATAGGAAAAGTTAAAAAATATAAATAATTGTCAAAAGTAATATTTGACGTGTTAGTCCAATTTAATAAAAGAAAATGTTATTGTTTAAGAATACCAAAACACTTTAGTTTAAATGTTACCACCATTTTATTTTTTTTAAGTAAGCAGTACATGTACAACACTGGGCAGTTGGCTGTAGGAGTTTTTCTTTTACCTGTTGACATAGTAGAGAAGAACAGTAGTGGATTCTCATGCTTACTTTACAGGCCTTGGCCGGGAAGAAGTCGCACCGCTCATAAATGACAAAACCGTGTGTGTTCGTTTTTTTAATACATTTCCGAACATGTTTGAGAAAATACATTTTTTTAATATCGTTCGTTTAATATCGGTCATCGAGTATATAAACAGAAACAGAGACGAAATGTCATGTAATTTGTTTAAAAATTATATATTTCTAATTATATGCCTATAAACTGCCTCCGTGGCCGAACGGTTACCATGCCGGACTGCCACGCAGAGGTCCCAGGTTCGATTCCCGGGCCGGGAGAAATGTTTGTATGGCTTACATTTATTTCTCTCGTGAGTTTGGGTGTAATTTGTGGTTGTCTATGTGTGTGTGTCCATGGCATCCGCGACACAGGGTTTCCCTAGTGCGGGGCTATGTTGAGTGTGTGCGTTATTTATTTATTATTTATTTATTTATATATGTCTATCTGACTTATTGAACGCGACTGAACTTGATCATATCTAAATTACAAATGAGAGCGAGAGACATTAAATAACAATTTTCGCTTCGGTGCGAACTAAATAAACAATTTACGGCGTCTCCCACACCGTACTGGTCCTGTCAATTGGTCGCTGGCGCTGCTCAGCCAATCAGAGTTCCTGAATTATTTAGTATCCTCTCAATACTAGCACTGACCGCCCAGGCGCGTACGGCCGTCCGTAACACGTATGCACGTCTTTATTCTTTTCTCTTTAAATAAGGTATTTAACCTCTTTTACAGGATCCAGAAAAAAGGCCAACATCCTCCGAGCTGCTGAAACACGACTTCGTGTGCGGCAATCTTGACTCCAAACCACTCCGAGATCTACTACTCGAGTATCGAGCTGAGGTCGTTGAGGAGGAATTGTTGGATGATGATTCTGAGGTGCGTATTCTGTTTACAACATCTCACGCTCACGATTGATCAATTACTAACACTCGCGATTGGTCAATATCTATCTCTTTGTTATTGGCCAAAGCTAAGGCTCGGGTTTGGTTGATGTCTATAGCTCTTTGTTATTGGTCAAAACTAAGGGTCGTGATTGGTTGATATGCAAAGTTCATTATGTTTCTCGAGGAAAGCTTTTGATAGACCCCGATTTCAATATTATAACAAAGCGTTTCGTGCTATGCTCTGGCTACAGTGGCGGTATAATGCGCCTGGCATGTGTGTCCTGAATAAAGTAGATAATTATTTCGCCTAAATATGTTTAAGACTTTTTTTTAAGTAAGTGCGCATTTGACCTCCATCTCACCTGATGGCAAGTGACGACGAGGTCGACGATGGACCATGCACACCTAAATAATGCCTATTCACTCTCGCCCAGAAAAGGCCCAAGTTATGGCTCTCAGGGAACATGCAGTGAATTCGATTTTATTGTTTTTTTCTTAGGGAGTGAGCGAATCGACCAATATTATTGGATCCGACACCTCGACTGCATGAATTTGATAACACTTCACGCATTAACATTAGTCGATTTCGACTGCATGCAGTTAATGCGCATTAACTGCAAACAGGCAGTCGATCTGTCAGCAGCCTTATATTTACTACAATGTTTTTAAATGTAAATAGCGAAATTGTTTGTTATCGATGAAATAAATTAACGACTAAACGATAAGCAAACGGATTAGCGGTATCGGGAGATTAAATAGTCATAGCATAGCAAGAAGCTGGTGACATTCATTTTTACTTTATTATTATTAACTGGCTGAGCAGTCAGTTAACTATAGATGTTCGTGTAGTACTTTCAAGTATTAAATAATGATTGCGTACTTATAACATTTATTTGTATTGTAATTTTTAAAATACACATACGGGCAATAAAATTAGATCGCAAACAGAATTGAGTCGACTACAAAGACTTGCATTTACTACTGTATTTAATAGCGTCAAATTGTAGTTCTCCTGAAACTCAGAGTGTATTACATTCATCTGCTGTACACATTAATAAGTTAAAGGCGTACCAGAATCTAATAGCATTTCGACAAATTTAAATTTGTCATTGGCATTGGTAGAAAAAAATTATTAGATACTCAAATTAATCTACCCTCATACAAGTTCTGTATGAAAAGTGTGTTTCTTCCTTATTTCGTCTCTATTTCTGGTTATACAGGGTGTAAATTTCAGACGGTGCAGCAAGGCCAGCTACCTTAATCGTTGTAGTTACAGGAAAACGGTTCTAGAAGACTATCCATGAATTTTGAAAATATTTTGATTGGCATTCACAGATTTTCAAAAAATGGTACAGTCAGCAAGATAAAAGGCAATTTATACAAAACTTTTTTTATGCCATTCGATCCGGTCTCTGGTAAGGATCAATAGTCTCTATGGGACCAACTGAGGTAAGAGTACTCGAAATGTCGAAAGAAACAAAAAAAACCGTGGTAGCCCAATGGTTTGACCCACCATCTCTCAGGCAGAGGCCGTGGGTTCCAATCCGGAGTAGCACCTCTGAGTTTTCAGAATTATTTTGAAATGTTCTGTGAGCTTTTCGGTGGAAGAAAACATCGTGTTGAAACTTGCACTTCGAAGGTTCACAATCCTCGGAAATAGTGTGAAGTCCCCAACCCGCATTAGGCCACAGTGGCGGACTTTGGCCTGAAAACTCGCCTAAAAGGAGACCCATACCCAGAAGTGGGACATATAAATGGGTTGATGATGATGAAATAAAAACATAATTCAAATTTGCTGCATTTTTTTTGTGGGAGATAGATGCACGCTTCGCCATAATGGACGATGTGGTAGACTAAGCTACTTGCCTCGGTGGCCGAACTGTTACCATTCTGGTCTGCCATGCAGAGGTCTCGGGTTTGATTCCTGGGCGAGGAGAGATATTTGTATGGCACACATTTATTTCTCTCGCGAGTTTGGGTGTGATTTGTGATTGCCTATGGCGATGAACACTACAAATTTATTTTTTGATCATTTTTGTAGACAGCCGTATTTATTTACTAATATTATGCTCCCCGACTTTTATAAAAAAAAAGAAATAAAGAAACAGAAAAATAAAATTCGAAAACAAAAAACAAAATAAAACGAATTTTGTGAAAAATCAAAATAAAGAAACAAAAAAATAAAAAATAAACAGACCAGGGAGTCGATTCAAAACCTTCCTATAACTCAGTTGTCGACCGATTCCATTTGATATCATACGATTTCTTTTCATTTCTATTCACAACACCCGAATCGAAAGTCAAACTGTCGAATTCGAAACCTAACCGAAATGGCGTCACACCCGTACGATTACTCGAACTTCAAAAGTTCTAAAGGTTCGTTTTAAAGGCTACAAACGTTATTCAGAACACAGTTATCAAATGAAAGTTACCAAACGTCAAATCCTTTTGTGGGGTCTGGATGTTGCCTGACTGGTCAGCAATCAATCAATAACTAATAATTACTGTATTATTTCTATACTATTTGTAATGGCTATCAATAAAGTTATTATTATTATTATTATTATTGATGTGTATGTCCATGGCACCCGCGACACAAGGTTTCCATAGTGCGAGGTTATTAGTGTGCGTCATTTGGTATTTATTTCTCTAGTAAATGCCTAGTCACTCTAGCCTGGAATAGCCCCAAATGGTACCTTTCGGAAAACACAGATTATTTTATAAGCTATCCCGATTTTATTGCCCGTGAGTTTATTAACAAAATTGTTAACTAACACATGCTTTATTCGCACGCTTACTAACCCATGGAACGTTACCTTTACTCGACTTTTGTTATTATTTTAATAATTCATTGAAATTAATTATTAAATAATTAGAATAAGTCGAGGAAGGGTAAATTGAAGCCGAACAAGGAATATTATCAAAGAGTTGGTTAGTATATAAATGGTATTTAATATTTAAACTGTTCTAACGGTGCTTGATGACGTCAGACTATCGATGGTCGATTTTATGAATCAAATAACGGTGGTAGAGCTAGTGTTGGATTATAATTCGATAAGTTTTGAATGATATACAATTTTTCAAAATAACCCCCGATAGAAAACAATGCACCCCAAAAGTCAATAAATTTACATGTCTAAACTAACACTCGTCGAGACCAAAAGGGAAGGCAAGGGCTGCCACCATAGGGCGCATTCCTATTATGTTGTAACTTTTTATTTATCGTTGGACGACTGTCGCGTCTAGCCTGTTCCTATATCACGACTATCTGTCGTGACTGTGTAGTGGACGTTAATTTTATCGTTGAACAACTGTCGCGTCTAGCTGTTCCCTTTAGATCGTGACGACAATTTATCACAGAATCGTTTGAAGCTGCGATTATCTGTCGTGGCGTTTTATTTATCGTCTGACGACTGTCGTTCTAGCTCTTTCCATTGTCTCGACAGTCTGTCGTCGTAACGTCAAAAAAGTCGTGAATGACTGTTAATCGTGCTTTACTGTATGTGAACAAATTCATTTAAACATACAACCCACAACACTTTAAACAGCACAAATATCTTTCGACACGAAATAACGGGGAACGCGCCCTTACAAGCAGTATTGTGAGCATTAGTGCCTTCCGGTTTTGAAGGGTAAGGTGCTGGTGAATGCTTTTGAAATCAGTCCATCCGTTTCGAAGCTTCGATGTCACAGACAGACACAAATATATAGATAAAAGCTTTAAACTTATAACTTTAATTTTAGATTTTAATTTCTTAAATATGAAATTAAGAAAATAAAGACAGAAACGAAAATTCGAAAAAAAAAAAAACAGAAAAACGAATTTTGTGAACAAAAAATAAAGAAACAAAAACCAAATAAAAACAGAATAGGTACAAACATTCAGTTGGCGTAGTGTTAATTGGAGCTATCGATTTGTGGTTGTCTATGTGTGTCCATAGCACCCTCGATACAGGCTTTCCCTACTGCCATAGCGTGTGTTTGAGTTGTTGTTATTTATATTAGTTTTATTTCGTTGGTTATTATTTTTATTTATTCGTCTGTTTTCCCAAGAATGTTTATAATTTAATGAAATACATGTCCGAACTATACGTTAATGTTGTGTTTACGATGGTCTACGTTGCATGCGAATCGGATCAGCCGCCAGAGCCTCGGTCTGCGTCGAAGGTACTGTGTTGATTAATAATACTATAAAGGGTTATTTTTAAAATACTTTACCTCTCACGACTATTCCCAATGGTGGTACGTCACATGGCTATTTGCTAATTTGATATATTCGGCAAACAATCACCATGTGTAGATAGCATGTGTGACAAAGAATACAATAGAAACCATTCATTGCAATGCCACATTATAAGAAACACAAAAAGTAATATATATAAAAACAATAAAATAAATAACACAAAAACAGCATAGCTAACATTTAAACAAAACTACAAGTTTTCTGTGTAACTTATTATACTGACACGTGAGCGGCTGTGGCGTATGCAAAAGGATCTCGTTCAGCTAAAGCCACAGCCTAGAATGGGCTGTGACGCTGGTTTTCAATAGACCCCAGAGACTGACGCACGTATGCGTCTCGAAATGAAATACTATGTAAATATACTTATGCCTTATATGTAGGTATATCGTGTTATTACAATGCATACTCTTATATCGAATAAATACCTACATAATCTTTGCGATACATACATACACTTTCATGTTATAAGTGTGTGTAGTGTAAAATCAAATAGTTATTAATTTCCATTATTATTAATACAAATTTAAAATATATTCCACTTCCATGTTGATTTGGAACCAAAATAAAAACATAGAAGATGTCAGTTGCTTATCATTCCCACGCAAGCTGTAAAAGTCGACTGAGGGATTAGGTTTAATAGTGCCCTATAAGTAGGCGAGAGGCTGGCAACCTGTCACTATGGTGCACTAAGTTACACGAGATTGTATACAATCTTAACCCAAACATATGCCAATAGTGGCTTTAGTACCCCTATATGGGAACCCAAAGGTGTAAGTATTATGTATGTAAAATATATTCCACTAAAAATATTATTCAAAAACTTTAGCTATCTAATTCGTGGAAAGAATTCTACTTGACTTCAACATTTAACAATTATTACTCTTGTGCAGTTGCTATTTTCAAAAATGATAATTATCTGTTATTAAATTAAATAATGACATGTAGTTTAATAAATGTAAGATGTATATACATAATTTCATTATTTCAAAGTATTTGCCTATTCGACAAATATAGCAAACACCAAACTCGCGTTACCGCGCGCTGGTCGGTTTCTTCATGCACATCAAAGGAGCCAAATAGGCAAATACGCAAGTAAACAGTCCACTCTATGGCCATTCATTATTTTAATTTCTTATTGGCTCCATGTGTACACGATCATATTTATCAGAGTCAGTAATAGTACAGAAGCTAATTGTATTCGCTATTCACAGGAATAGCGAATACAATTAGCCATGTGTCGTCATAAAATAAAGACATACAAATATTTCAATTTGTATATTTGTTTGTTCAGGAGCACCGCAGCTCACAGCTGCCGATGGAGCTGGAAGATGACTCCACCTCCGTGCGATCCGCCGATACGCCCGACCTCAAAAGTAAGTATTGCGTCGAGTATATAACCAGAAATAGAGACGGAATGTCATTGAAAACTATTCTGTCAAATCATTACTGTGACAATTGCGCTCCGATTGGCCAGCCCGAATTTGAAACAATTGACGGGTGTCGTCTATTGTTTCACTTCAAATCGACTGGTTTGATGAAATGTGATTCCGTTTGTTTTGTAATTAGATGTTTTGCTGTTTTCCCCACACCACCGAATGAAACAGCCCCCTATAGTTAGAGATATTATCTTTATTACAATAAATACGGAATATTTTTAGAATATGCGGAGACGTACACACAGGTCAGTTGTTGGTGCTGTACTATTTTCTAATTTGTGATTGCAGCGCAAACGGGACTTGATATTTAAAAGTGATATCAGGCCCATTTGCCTGATGAGTTGCCAGGGATGGATGGCCCTTATTTTGTCTCTATTTCTTGTTATATACTCGACAGAGTATTGTCACATAATACCTAACTATACATACAGTAGGGCAGGCGAAGTCCATTGCCTTCCACACCTTTCACCTCATCGGCTAAGGGCGCGTTCCCATTATGTCGTAATGTTTTATTTATCGTTGGACGACTGTCGCGTCTAGCCTGTTCCCATATCACAACTATCTGTCGTCTGACTATGTCGTGGACGTTCCTACCTACTGACCCGAGAATAGGGTTTTCCCAAGAGACTACACCAAGACTACACCAAGACGGCAAGACCAGGGTACAGCGGGCGTCCGGGCCAAGCCGTCCGCCTGTGATACGCCTTTGGCCGTCTCTGGCGGACCCGGAGTTGGGTATGATGGATTCGCTGGGGTTTGTGGTTAGGTGCAGAGACGGACATGTTTGTCTGTCCCGGTTGCATGTGTCCGGGGCGTCTGCATCGTGAGCAGCTAGCGCGTCATAGTAGCGGTCTAGGTGAAGGCCTGAAGCGAGGAGACGCGCGGGACACGTGAGTTGCCCTTTAAGTTGGAAGCTATGTCCGGACATTGTCGCAGGCCACTGCGACTGGCATCTCCGGCAGTAGCCCGGAGAGTTAGTACAGGATAAGCTAGATATCCTCCGGTCCTTCCAGCCGCTTAGGTTATTGGGAACTGGAGAGACGTCGTTTTTCGGCGTCGGGAAGTGAGCGTGTCTTATAGCTCCGCCACCAATGAGGAGATTTGGTAGTGGACTGAGAGTCGACGGCTAAGTGGTGGCAACCGCTAGTTGTGCAATGCGCAATGGGAAGTGAGCGTGACAGGCAGCTCCGGTACCTATCTGGAAAATAGGGAGGGGTACTGTACGTGCACCGGGACGGATCACCCGTGGCACTAGCCTCTCGAAAAACCGGATGAAGTCAAGTGACAGAGGTCTGTGACAACCCTGTACACTGGCTGATCTGGGGTCAAAACCTGAACTTGTAAGGTTCCTGTGCGCGCACAGGCCATAGTGCCCTTCTCGTAAGGGTAGGTAGGGAGGGTCACGATAATCAAAACTAACGTAGAAAGATTGGAGCTTGTGTCGTGGACGTTTGTTTTATCGTTGAACGATTGTCGTGTCTAGCTGTTCCCATTAGATCGTGACGACAATTTATCGGTTAACGGCAGCCGACTTGTTGTTTGCACGATAGAATCGTTTGAAGCTTCGATTATATGTCGTCACATTTTTATTGTGTCGTTCTAGCGTTTCCCGTTATCACGACAGAATTGACGTGTTTTACTATATGTGAACAACTTCACTTATATATACAAGCTTTTACATACTTTAACTTCACGACTATCTTTCGTCACGATATAATGGGAACGCACCCTTAGGGTTTTCTTGACCTGGTTTTTATGACGTCCACTGATATGATGATAACACCCAGTGTAGCCTTGAAGTAAGAACGTGTCCGCAGAAGTATAGTGAACTCAGTCAATTTTGGTTTGAACTTGTTGTGTAATTTTTTTTTTATAATCAGTGTCGGAGGCGGAACCCACCCCCGGCACTACCCCGGTGGCGGCCAACACCGCTTCGCCCCCGTCGCCAGCCGCCGGTGCGCCAGCTCCGTCGAAGCTGCCGGCACCCGTGCCGCCCGCCGCCGCCGCCACTGCTGCTGCCGCTGCCACTGCCGCCAAGCGCCCGCTCGACGACGACCACCCCGCGGCTGACAGGAAGCATCCCGTACGTATACAGTAACTCTAACGATGACTATAGTGCATTCGCGTTAAGAAAATAGTGACTCATCAGTGCAACTGCCGGGTAAGGGTGTATTCACAGTGGAGTGAAATTTCAAGAAATTTTAAAAATAAATGTAATATCTTCGTCAGCTTCGCAAAGTGCCATAATTTTGTCCAATGTCGGGTAGTCGTTATTTAAATATATTGAATGAACTTTTCTTCTTATTGCACATTTGTCTAGGTCATCTAATTTATCGACCGTGGATAATCGAGCTCTTTTTTTCAGCATGATTTTAATGTGTTTGTATCCTTTTGTTCTTTAATAATTTTGTAAACGGTATTTTCGGACACACCGCATGCACTTGCTGTTTTTATAACTGTGCACTCCACAGTCGCGTTTAAATCGCAACGTTTAAAGAACTTGTAAACATTATAAATTATGCGTCTTTCTCCGCTGTGGATTATTGATCCACTTTTATTTTTTCGAATAGGTGAGGTATTCATTTTCAAATTGCTCGAGTAACACTCTGGATACACAACCGTTTTGTTCGAAGGTCTGACTTCAACTGGTCACTGTGAACTCGACTTAATAATTTCAAGCATTCTAATTGGCTAGGGGGCGTGGCCAGGTCGGCGGTCAACGATGAGTCACTATTTTCTTAACGCGAATGCACTATAATAAAAAAAATTTATTCCAATTAAGCCGAGTTATTCCAATTGAGAGAGTAAAAATAATATCACTGCATATAAAGCAATCATTGAAATGTATTTCACAATTTAAGGCAGACGTATGGCATTTTGCTTTGGGATAATGCCGCCGATATTAATAGAATCTTTGTCCTGCAGAAACGTGGGGCAATTTACAATCTGGGCCCCAGAGTGTCTTTGAGAAATAAGTTTAAAGAGATTAACATTGTTATACTAGCGTTTCTTGCTCATTCGTTTTAGATTATGAGCAGTAGAGTTTAAATATGACGATTTCAAGTGTAATTTGTTATGTTGAAATAAAGGCGATTTGAATTTCAATAGGATTGTTAAAAGGATTTTAAAAATGTTATAGCATGTAACTTTATCCTTTAGGCGCCAAAGAAGGAGAAAGGACCGGCGCCCCCTCCGCCGTCGGCTGCGTCGCCCCCCTCGTCCCCTTCCCGGCCCTTGCCCCTGCGCAAGCACCCCGCGCCCCCGCCGCCCGCGCTGCCGCCCTCGCCCGCCGCTCACTCCGCTGGGAAACAGATTGTCGACCAAGTGAGTTTTTGCCCCTCTCTACCACCAGTTTGTAGTGACCGTTGTCGTATTCAAAGGCTGTAACGTTAATCAGATTGATTCTCTTTCTAAGATCATTTAAGACATAAGGCCCCCATATACGAGAAAATTGACTGCCTCCGTGGCCGAACGGTTACCATGCCGAACTGCCACGCAGAGGTCCCAGGTTCGATTCCTGGGCCGGGAGAAATATTTATATGGCCTACATTTATTTCTCTCGTGAGTTTGGGTGTAATTTGTGGTTGTCTATGTGTGTGTCCATAGCACCCACGACACAGGGTTTCCCTAGTGCGGGGCTATGTTGAGTATGTGCGTTATTATTAGAAAAAAAAAAAATTCATCTTCACGATCTATCGTTTCAGACTGGTGGAAACGTAAACCTGCCACACGCGCACATTATTAATTTTTTATTTTAATTAGCCAAACATAATAAGAACAGCACTTAATCTAAGTAAAAACTGTACCTGTGGTGTGTAACTGTGGTTTGGAAGAGCGGTGGCTACTGATACGAGTATTTTTATACTTAAAAGAAGTTCACTAGGAATGATACATTACGCAGTGTTGGGTCCTGGAAAAATTTCCATTTTGAAAAAATTATATTTTCCAGAAAAATACTTTTGCGGATATTTTTTTTCCATTATTTTTCCTTTATTTTTCCACATTTGACGTTGCAACCTGTCAAAAGTTGAAATTACTGAACGAAAACAATGAAACCAACAACAAGTGATGGTGGTTGTGGTTGTTGGAGGTTTTTTCGCTGTTGTGAAATTATTTTGAATCTCGGTTTTCTATAAGTGGCTTTTAGATATACAAATTTGTTTTAAAATTCACGCGAAGTAAAATTTCAAAAGATATTTCTAAACGTAGAACGTAATATGAGTCTCCCCAATTATATTTTTCTAACTTTAAAAATTTTGAGAGAATTTTCCGGAAAAATTTCCACTATTTCAAATTACTCAACAGTACATAGATGTAACCTAGATTAACTTGAGTCAATAAAATTTTCTCAAATTTTTTTAAAGTGAAATAATACATAATTTAGCCAATCCATGTGTGTACTCTTGGAGTAAAAGAAGTGTTAATGTTTTTATTAGTCCATAGTAATAGAAAGAATAAGCTTTATTTATACAACCCCGGCATTCGGTTCCGCACGATTGCACACGGCGGGCAACGGTATTTTCAACTCTCTGAACGCGGGCTTAGGTTCCTTTGTCCTCCTAGTGAGTGCCTGGTCTCATTACTCAGATTTAGTATTTTCGATTTTGTGATGTATCTGTTACTTACTACGCAACAGCTATCTATTAAATAATCTGTGACCAGGGGAGTAGCCACGGATCGATATGATTATAATGACAATTGATCGTAACGAGAATTCGTCTGCGGCTGGGCCTTACTGACATTTTATTAAGACGGTTTCACAATCATTCTTCAGTTGAAAATTATAGTTAAATAGCAATTTTACGCTCTTTTTAATTAAATATTCCAATTAATCACAGGTATGCAGAGAAGCAGAAAAAGTGGTCGAAGAAAAACGCGATTCAGCGAAAGAACAAGACAAACCAAAGCCACAAAAACACACACCGAATAAGGACACCGAAATCACAAACTCCACAGACAAATTAGAAAAACTCTCGAGATCCAGCTCGGAAAACACGGTAGAAATCACATTGTCTAACAGTCAAAACTCAATGGATCACAAAAGTGAAACCACAACGGAAATCACTAGAGTACCCGTTGACAAGGCCACGGAAATTACAAGAGTATCAGCCGAAAAGGCCACGGAAATCAGAGTATCATCGGAAAAGGGCATGGAAATCATAAAAGCGCCTTCCGTCGAAACAATAGTGAGTAGATCAAGTACAGAAGAGGATAGAACGTGTATTGAAGTCACTAACTTGGATGTCAAGAGGTTTTCGAGAACGAGTTCATTGGACAGCGATGAGAAGAAGAATGCTGTGGAAATCAGACCTATTTCTGTAAGTAATATTTTTTATTGACAATAGCCCATTTTTGCAATGTGCCCTTTGTAAAATTTGTGCGTGTAGACCATTGACCTCTGCAATGACGTTCCAATTTTATGTTTTAGTTTTTTTTAGATTTCGTTACATGTCCCTACGTTTATATTTTTTTCGTGGTTTTTGTATTAGACCCGACGTCCATTTGTTGGTAGGTCAATGTTGTAGACCCATGTTTTGTCATCATATGCATATTTTTTTTTTATAATTTTTAAGTAACACTTATTGAGAGCGACAAAAAGAGTGAAATAGAGTTTTGAAAGGCCCGCCCAGGGTTGTCATTCTTTATGACGTACTTCAGGAATAAAAATCGATTGTTTTTTAGCCATTGACCTACCAATAAAAGGACGTCGGGCCCGCGCTAACAAGTGTCCGAACCTATAGGGCATTAAATCGCAAACAGAGCATCATACGCGTGTTAATCTTCATTTGGTCGTCAGACAGCGTGCTAAAGTACTTCCACTTTACCTACTTCTGCCGCCAAGCAGTAATGTGAGCATTACTGCGTTTCGGTTTCGAAGCGTAAGGGTGCTAGTGAAATTACGGGCACATGAGACTTGTTAACTTATGACTCAGAATGCAATTTAAAGCTCTGAGTGACACTGAAACTGCTTTGGACAGGCATGTGGCTTAACACCAGGTGCACGACTTGTTCATCCCGTAATTTGGTGTCATAAAAGAAACTACTTTCTTTCTTCTCTCTTTCCATATTTTTACATTTTTGTCTTTTTCGCCAGCCCCAATCCAAAGAAGACCGCTACTACAAGCCCCCTGCGCCTTCACCCCCTCCGGCGCCGTCTCCAACGTTGGTCTCCGTACAACCAGTAGTGGTTGTAGTTGAACCCGTTGAGCCCAACTCTCTGGCCTCCAACGCGCATCACGTCACTGTCACCACTACACATCCACCAGTTTTGGGTACTGCTGCGCAGGTAAGGTTGTTTTTTTATTTTTTGTTATATGAATTATGATAAATCTGATCGTAATTAGTTTGAAAGCATAAATGATGAATCAGATTAAAACGGATTTTAAATGTCACACGATGAGTTCGCAGAGAGTGACCGCGCTTGTTCACTCTCCAAGTAACTCGCACAAAAAGCCCATCTTGTCAACTGCGCGCTCGTTTTATAAAGCATTGACCATGCACTTTACGCCTTAATTTCGTATGGTAAACATCATGCCATTGGAGCATGTCAGAAACGACACTAGCGCCAGCCTTTCTGCGACTTAACAGTTTGAGCTTTCAAACTGACGTCATTTAAACAGTCATAAGTCAAGAAAGAATTTTTTCGATATTTTTCCAATATTTTACTTTTTTTTTTCCACATTTGACGTTGACACCTGTCAAAAGTTGAAGTTACTGAACGAAAACGATGGAGCCAACAAGAGGTTGGTAGTAGTGTGGTTGTTGGAGGTTTTTCGCTGTTGTGTAATCGTTTTAAATCTTGTTATTATTTTAAGTGAGTAAGTTAGGTATACAAGTTTTTTTTTCACGGTTTCTTTTCGGTTCACAGTTATATTATTCACGCTGAATAAAACTTCAAAAACTATTTCTAAACGTAGAACATAATGTAAGCTATCGGAATTATATTTTTCCGGAAAAATTTCCACTATTTGAACTTTTTTGGAAAATTACTCAACAGTACCTCGCACCTCACCACCAAAAATGTCTAAAATGCATTTTTGCGCCTTCAAGATTATTTTTCAAGTTTGCTGGTTTCTGTGACTATATAAATTGACAACATACCTTCCCTTTGTTGGTCTTTGTTTATTATATTCTAATTTATCTGTCCCAGCTTCCTCCGAACGCAGTGACGATATCAACAACTCCACCCATTGCTGATGAAGTGGTTATAGTGGGAGCTGGCTCTTCCTCAGACGATGATTGCTTTGCACCTTCCTCGTTGGATTCTTTGGACTGCAACAATTCTTACAGCGGTGAGTGTGGGACAATGTGAAAATATTAAAGATCGAACGAACCAACGACCATACTACACAGTAGTATCGCTATAGTTATCGAGTTGTCGAAATTGTCTTATGTGATTTTGTTAAAGATGTTTATACTGGATTTTTCGACATTCTGCGCCGCTGGTGACATCTAGTGAGATATTTTGGTACTTTCTTCACCGCAGGCGGCACCTTTACAGGCGCCTCAACTGACGACTGTCGAAAAATGTCGATTACTAAAGTTGAAGGAGGGCAGAGTAGATAAATTTATCTATAAAGCATACAGTTTGTGTAGACTACAACGTGAACCCTATAACAGGCATTGAATACCTTTTCAAATGAAATCCATAGGTTATGTAATACTAGTTCCCATAGACAATTAATCCAGTCCCGGCGCAAAAGAAACCTATCTCAGAATTTTGCTTATATTAGGAAAGGGAATATCGTCGCCTTACTATCTCAAAACTCGTACCTTAAAGCACAACGTAACTGCAATAGAAATGTTGCAGGCTGCTTTCACATGACAATTCCCTCATATTCACGCACTCGCTTTTACCTATTCCTAGGGTCGTATTCTAGAACTCTACTCAATGCTCAAGTCAGGACTTGAGTATGATTCAAAGCACTCGAAATCATACTCAAGTCCCTGCCATTAGGGTCGTATTTTCAGTGCTTGTGTTTCCAGTGCAATCCTGACTTGAGCATTGAGTAGAGTTCTAGAATACGACCCTTAAAGTAATACATTTAAATTAACACCCTTGATAAGAAATTTAAAATAAATAGATAGTTTTGCCAAATCCTGTATAATCACACTTTATAAGATACGTGGTTGAGAAAGTAAGGCATCCATATAACACTCTCTGAAAGGGTAATTTGGGAAAGGGGTATTCTGTAAAAGGGGCATTCTAGGAACGATACATTCTGGGTAAGGGACCTTTTGAAACTGAGGGATAGTTAGTGAATTTAAAGTGTTTTTTTATGTCGGAATATTACGGGAACATTCAAAAAAATTATTTCAGTTTGCGAAAGTTGTTCATGTTTGTGAGTACAGTGAACCCCCAATGGTTTAAGCACTATTATACTCTGTAAAGATACCGGTTACCATTTTCCATTGTATGAACTTTTCGACACCTGTTTGTATATAACATATAATAAAAATGATATATGTATATGCTACAGAGAAACGCGGCCGTCGCCTGGACAGCAGCGAGGTACTGATATTGAGCCCCGGCGCGACAGGCGACTCCGGTGTATTCGACGACAGCGTTAACAACGGGCTCAATTTGGTGAGTGTCTCCTCTTTTTAACCCACCTCAAAAAAGGAGGGTTGGTCGAGGTGATTCGACTGTATGTTTTTTTTGTATGTTGGGCGATGACTAATATAAGTATAATATATACATATACATTATATGTAGTACATGCAGTACCCAAAATAAGTAGGTAAAGCACTTGTGTTATGGACATCGGGAACAACGACGGTACCACAAACACCCAGATCACAGACAATATAGAAAAGTTACTTTTCTACACTGACCCGACCGGGCATCGAACCCGAGACCTCAGAGATGGCGACACTATGAAAATTAACTAACTAACAACTCCCGCGTTTCTGAACCGTTTTTGATGATTCTTTTTTTTTTGGAAGGAGGGTACCTCAGCAGTGGTCCCATTTAATTTTGAAGAACATGTTCCTCCTCTAAGGGTATAAAATTTGGTAAATAGATGTAATTCCCCGAATGTTTGAAGTCGGTTTTTTACTACTCTGTATTGAGATTATACATATACAGGGTGTCAGAGGTCCCAGGTTCGATCCCGGGCCGGGAGAAATATTTGTATGGCCTACATTTATTTATCTCGTGAGTTTGTGTGTAATTTGTGGTTGTCTATTTGAGTGCCCATGGCACCCGCGACACATGGTTTCCCTGGTTGGCTATGTTGAGTGTAAGTGTGTGTTATTTATTTTACTCCATCTTCAAAGAAGACAGACTATGTAAATCATAGTTTCCCAATATGGTCCCCCGTGGGCGCTGAAGAGTCCTTTTGGGACCTTTGGGATCAGTGGGAGCTAAAAAAAAAACCTGAATGATCTATATAAACTACACTACAAATATTTTTTTCCTCCTGATTTTTTGTGTAAATATAAAAATTTTAAAATATTTGTGTTTTCAATTATTTTTTGCGGTGGTGGGCTCGTGCTTAATTGGGCGGTGAACTATGATACAAACGAACACCTGAGAACTCTATATGCTTTGTTTTGTCAGGACACGTCTCACGTGTCCGTGGTGACCGTGGGCACGGAGGAAGTGCGCGTGCGCGACTCGGCCGCCACGCACATCGCGCTCGGCACGCCTGGCGCCACTCGGCTCAGCCCCGACAGCTTCGAAAGGTGAGGTGTCGTTGTCGAACAGTTCGTCCAGAGAAGCACTGCCACCTTACCTATGTCTGCCACCAAGCAGTCGGCATTACTGTGTTCCGGTTTTGACTTGTCAACTTATGTCTCAGAGTGACGCAGTGGCAGTGCCTCTTAAATCAAATCTTTGCGATGTAACGCTTTGACGTGGCACTGCAACTGTTGTGGATAAGCGTGTCGCTTACCACCAGAACCACGACTTGTTCGTCCCGGCACAAACGAAATAGGCAAGGTAAAGCTGTACTTTTCTGGATGTACTTTAATAACAGTAGAGCGCCTTGTGGGACACCTTGTGACTTGTCAACGTACGTGGCAGTGCCCCTCAGATGTTTCCGATTTGAAGCTCTGAATGGCACTGCAACTGTTATGGGCGTGTAGCTAACCAGCTATAAAAAGAACTCTTTCACAAGAATTTGTACTGCCACTGCTACTTGGTGATGTGTATTATGGTCGTGCGCAGGCGTTCGCAGTCGGACAGCGGGTCCGTGGCGTCCGAGAGTTCCCGGCGGGCGCACGACGCGGACTCGCTGGCCACCACGGCGTCTCACGAGTCAGGGCACCACGAACCGCATCTCAACGGCGGCACGAGGTAAATACACCGGCTGCGCCGTTATTCACTATTTTAGTTCCCGTCTATATTTATTTATTATATTTTGGTTACGCACTAAAACCGTGGAATATGCAGTAGAGGCCTGCTCTTTGGTCGGCCGTGTAGAAAGTAATAATCCATCACTCACTTCTTATACTATCGCTCATTTTTCCTGTCAGTAAATAATGATAGTATCTCCGCAATTTATAATAAAGTAATTGCATCAATCCTTCATGATATATGAAATAAATTATATAAGAACTGGCTCTTGTCATCTTTTCCATCAAAACAAGGAAAGATACTGATATCCAACGTGACAACTAACAGTATTACCTGAAAATGGCTTTAATTTATATTAATATTATCTATTTAGTTTCAAAGCGACAGTGTTGTCCTGTCACTTTGAAATTAAATGAGTGACACATTTTGGAGATAAATTATTACTATAAGGCAATTTTGAGATAAAGTATAAAATAACGCAATTTTTAAGATAATACTATGTTAGTTTTAATTATTAATACAAACATCGGACACTCAGATAATATCTCTTCGATCCGGCCGGATTCGAACTGACGTCTTCTAACATTCCGTGTTAGACGCTGTACCAACTAAGCCACGGAACGAACCAGCGGACCTCATGATTCTTTCTGTGTGGTTGTTGTCGTGTCTCTGTATTTGCTTTTTTAACGACTTTTTAGCCGTAGCGCCATCTATGAAAGTATTTCGTCACCCCGTTAGATACATTTACAAGTACCAGCCTCCAGTAGCTTTGTTACAGCAGATTTCTTATAGATGGCGCTACGGCTGAAAAGTCGTTGAAAAACCAAGTACAAAGACACGGCAACAAGCACATACAAAAATTCGTGAGGTCCGCTGGTTCGTTCCGTGGCTTAGTTGGTATAGCGTCTGGTACGGTATGCTAGAAGATGTCGAAGAAATTTTTTCTGAGTGTTCGATCTTTGTATTAATAATTATAACAAACTAGTGGAGTAATTTCGCATAAAATATAATTGAATATCAATTCAATAAAAATTTAAATTCTTACAAGTTTATTGTGACAATGCTATTTTATAGTTTTACAACTTGTCCGTCTGGCGCTGTTAAGTGGTGTGCAAGCGCCGAGCGTTATATGCAAAATTTTCTTTTCAGGGTGAACACGGAGACTCCGCTTATCGAAAACGGTGAACCGGTGGTGCTGAGGCGGAAACCTCTGGAGCAACCAGTTAATAGGATACAAAGGTACATTGTTTTATGTTACGTGCACCTGGTGGTAAACGACACGCCAAAATGAAATATGAAAAAGCGTTCTGTCTTCTTTGGGTATTTTATGAGACTCCCACACTAGCGTTTTTCGAGCATCAGCACAAGACCTTGACCCTTGAAGGACGCTAGTGCGGGGGTCTCTAATAAAACATTGTTTTAATGATATCGAGTTCTTAGGTTTTCGCGATTGTTACACAAAGCAAATGAAAATATTTGTCCGGATTTAAATCGCGTATATATTTTGTTTTTTTTTTTCAAACAAACCAACATTTAGGGGCCCTTTACAGGTCCAATGGCCACGGTTGACACACATGTCATGATGTCAACCGTGACCATGGGACCATGGGAGTAATAATAGTAAAGAAAGTAGTTGTAGTTGGCATAGCGTCTGGCACGGTTTGCTGTTAGACGTTGGTTCTAATACAGCCGATCGAAAGAATTTTTTTCTTAAGATTCGAATCGTAATTCTACGTGAAAATAAATGAATATCATGGTGGTAAAACATTTGTGACATCCAATAAACTCGAAAATATATTTTCTAGTTTCAAATGAAAGAATTTTCTGTTTTATAAATTGTAACGTTCTAATTCAGATCAAAGGAGGACATCCACCTGGCAAATTTGAAGAAGAAAACGCGTAAGCGCACGCGCAAGTTCGAGATAGATGGCGTCACTATCACCACTACGACGTCCAAGGTAAAGCACTGCCACCGTACCACAGATTACTAAATACTACGTAACAGATACATCACTCGATACAAAATTCGAAAATACCTACGCTATAATAGCCTACTAAATCTGACTAATGGCACCAGGCGCCCACTACGAGGAAAAAGAAACCTTAACACGTGCTCAGAGATGTGGAAATAACGTTGCCCGCCTTGTGCAGTCGTGCGGAACCGAATGTTTATAAATGAAAGACTTGTATGAGCGCTAGGGCCGACATCGGTACACTCAGCGGTAGGCATTTATCGCGTAACCTCGAGCGAGTGACAGACCCCTATACCCATTTATGCCGCCGCACCGTGCGGTCGAACCTTAAAAATACTCGAGTATCTTTTAGATGCGATTGAATAGGCTTTAGGGCGAGCTCATTCCATTTAGACCATTGACTTACAATTATATGGACATCGGGTCCGCGCTAAAAAGTGTCCGAACTTATAGGGCGTTAAAATCGTATACAGAGCGTCATTCACGCTTTAGTCTTCGTTTGTTCGACTGACAGCGAAGCAAGCAAAATTAGACGGTACTGCGATGACATTACAATTTAAATTCAACGTTTTAGCTTTTTCATATTCCTTTACATGTCACTACGTTTAAATATGTTGAATTGCGACATTTTTTTCGTGGTTTTTGTATTAGACCCGTCGTCCATTTATTTTAAGTCAATGATTTAGACCCTATCTTTGCTTCAGGGCTACGTAATGCTCAAAAGGAAATTAGTTTCATTTAAATAGAAATTGCCTGCTTATCGGTATTCTACCGGATATAACGGAGGGCGTGCGACGGAATTACACGATTTAATCCCGCTTTCCTCTTTCCATCATCGGGGGACCGGACGTAAGCTGGGATTGCACCCCTATGTTGCGTATATTCTACGACTTGTTCCCTAAACGGGGTATGACTTGGGCCTTTTCATAGCGAGAGTGAGTAGGTATTGTTTAGGTATGCATGCTCCATCGTCGATCTCATCGCCACTTTTTATTAAAAAAAATATATAAAAAAGCTTTATTTTATTTTATTTTATTTTATTAAATGAACAAAGTTTCAACAGCATTCTTAAACTTATTTGACAAATGTGTTTAAGCAGTACAAAAGCCAATTACAGAAACTCACTATGTATACAAAATATGTGATATTATGATTACAACATTGGGTAGAAAAATAAATTTGAATTGGTACAATGAAAACTGAGTTCATAACTAACTGTAAATTGTAAATACTGATATAAATTGTCGTGTATAGGTCTGTGTAAGTATATGTGATGGAGCATGACTGTCTGGTTAGCCTCCCCCTATTTCCTCAGAGAACTGTACAAAAAGTCGTATAAAACTACAAAAAAAGCAAAGATCCGCAAGAAGCACGTAAAAAAATTCGAAGCCTGGTGGTTTGTTTCGTAGCTCAGTTGGGAAAGCGTCTAGCACGAAATGCTTGAAAGAGCTGGTTCAGTTCGAAGGAATTTTGTTTGTGTTTGATCTTTGTATTAATAATAATTGAATAAAGACTAACGAAATTATAATCTACAACGATGATGTTGCAGGTGATATGGGGCGACGAAGAAAGCGGTCGCACCTGGGACGATCATGCACTACGCAAGCAGGAGTTGCGAGAGATCAAAATGCTGCAGAAGCAGGAGCAGAAGCAGTTCCAGGACCTCAACGCCAGAGAGGTGCAGCTCAAGGAACAGCAGGAAAAGAGGTACGTGGAATTTTGAATGGCCAACAAATTACCCGAGCTTGTCTCCGTAAAAGTTTCCTGCGCACCACAAAGGCTACTATAGTGACCATCCAACTGTCACTAGGAAATGGACTGTGCACTGTGGAAATGGAAAAACCCCACACCACCTGATTTCGTCATACCTCAAGAGCAACTACCACCAGGTTGCGATCTGCGGTACCCTGTGTGGAAGTCCTTAAATCGACTCCGCACTCAGGTAGGACGCTGCAGAGACACGATGTGTAAATCGGGTTTCAGGGATGCTAGTCCTAACGCAATGTGACTGTGGTTCCCCAACACAGTCCATGCACCTCTTATTGTTGTGCCCCTTGTGTCCTAATACCTGTACGAGGAAAGACCAACCACCATTTTCGCTTTGTATGGTTGTGTCATTCTTTCGTGCAAATTCTCTAAAATCCTAGAAAAATGCCTTATTGTGCTGTTTTGGAGTGCTAAAATGATAGCAGCGAAAGATTTTTGAAATAAATTTTCAATTTTCTGTTTATCGAAATAATTTTTCTATACAAAAAAAAAACGAAAGTAAAGCTTATGACCCCTGCAATAAGGTCGCTTCCTTTTTGGAGAACTAAATAATTAACTCATTGGAGTCGTCATTCAGCTATGACCCGCTAGATCGCAGAACATTGATTAAAATTTCAATTTAATATCAAAACGTCGAAACTTGTAATAATATATTGATGTTATTGAACTTTCAACGGTATGCCAACAGGGTAAAGCTTAATTTATGTTAACAATCCAGAATTTGTTATTTCTTTTTAAATTTGAAACTACGACCAATCATTATCAAGATTTCATAGTGTTTCAAATTGAGAATGTGTGAGAAATTTGAGAAATTTTGGCGACATCGGTTCTGGTAGTAATTGAGGCATAAGGCGCTTCCATTGTTGTTTCATCTTCCGTGATGGAGTCTTGTGATTATAGTCGCGCTTATGTTATTTATTTATTAATTTCATGCGGAGGGAGGGTGGGAAAACAACACAAGCGCACCCATTTTGCACGATTTAACCATCACTAGGTTCGCGGAGTAGTAAATTAATTTATTTCCATTTTTATTAACTATCGTATTGTTATTTCAGATTCGAAGCCGAACTAGCGTCCTTAACCCGAGCTCACGAAGCGGACTTGGAGACTCTGGCTCGAGCCCAACGGGCCTCTGCCGAACGGGCCGTACAGCAACTCGAAAACGAACTTCGGGCCGCCACAAAACGACTTCGGGCCGAGCACGAAAAAGCTTTACGGGATTTCAGGGACATATTGAAACAGGAGTTGCGGTTACTGAAACAGGTGAGCGTGTGATTTTTTTTTTTGTGTTGTTGGAACCACTATCAGTAATAACGTGACAAAGTCCGAAAAGTATTTCTTTGAGCCCATGAAACGATGTAAAGTATTTTTGAGGGCTACATATCAGAGAGGAATCATTTTCATTGTATGGGATGAAAATAATCGTGACAGCGGAAGATCGTCAAATTTTATAAAGAAACCATTTCATACATAATGAATAACTTTTCATTAAATTTGAGCAACTTTTGCTGTCCCGGTTTTTTCGTCTCTTACAATGAAATGATTCTTATATAACACCAAGTTGATCAGCACTAGAATTTTTTTTTATTAATTTTATTCATTTTTATGGACAACTCGCGCTTGACCAACAAATTAACTATGCCAAAATAATTTTCACAAACGAAGACTTAATGGTTCCTTATGCAGTTTCCTCGTATGTTCTATGGTTTCGGGTTTCCCCGTACTGTCCCATTTGAAAAAATATAACACTGTATGCCTAGACGTGAACGGGGATAAGGTGTAAGCAGCAGTGCGGGCGGGGCCAGCGCTTTGTCACTCGCTTAAAGTTACACGATAAGTGCTTACCGCTGAGTGCGCCGACGCCGGCGCAAGCACCTATAATAGTCTTTCATTTAGGAGCTTTCGGCTCCGCACGGCTGCATTCGGTGGGCAATGTTATTTTTACGTCTGCGAGCGTGTAGTGGCCACCTGGATTCATTAATAAGATTTAGTAGCCGACGATGCGCCGTAGATTTTTTTAACAATATCAAGTGATGGGACAAGTAAGTCGTGTGCCTGATGGTAAGCTACACGCCTGTCCATGACAGTTGCAGTGTCACTCAGAGCTTTATATCGCAAAGATTTGAGAGGCACTCACTACGCCTGTCACCTGAGACATAAGTTGACAAGTCCCATGTGCCTGTAATTTCACTAGCACCCTTACCCTTCAAAACCGGAACATATAATGCTGATATTACTGCTTGGCAGTAGAAATAGGTAAGGTGGCAGTGCTTACCTATCGACTCATCCGAAGAACAGTCCGATGTGATTTTATAGTGAAAAGAGAATAAGTACGTCACGAGAATAATTTCTTTATTCAAACTGAGGCCCATGTAAAGGTGTTTTGAGAATTTATATATCTTATTTCGTTTCGGAAATATAAAATCGAACAACGGTCAGCGAAGAAGAACGACCGAAATGTACTATATCCTGATAACAAGTAGTCTTGCACGTAGATCTTTGTTCTATGGACGAGTCGCTACATGCGGTACCACGGAAGAAAAAAAACAATAGAAGTGCCTTAGGCTTTGATTACTAGCAGAACCGATGTTGCTAAAACTCGTACATTCTTAATTTGAAACACTACGAAATCTTGATATTGTTTTTTTTTTTTTTTTTTTTTTTTTTTATGACATTAAGTAACGGGACGAACAAGTCGTGTGCCTGATGGTAATTGTTTTATTGCTGAACGACGACGAATGGAGTTTTAATTTAGTTTTCCAAACAAGAAGCGACCCTATTGCAGGGGTATAAGCTTTAATTTCGTTTCTTGTAACAAAAAAAAATTAAATAAAGAGAAAATTGACAATTTATTAAAATAAGGCTTTCCTATGATATGATGCAGTGTGGATATCATTTTAGCACTCTAAAACAGCACATTAAGGCAATTAGGCAAAGAATGACACATCCATACCATATAAAGCGAAAATGGCGGACATAGCTCAGATAGGTCTTTCGAGATCTATAGTTGGCACGCGTCGGCCACTTAACTAACCACTTCTACTGTATTTATTGTTCTGTGGACATCACCACCAAAAATATATCGATGGGTATTAGTGACGAAAGAGACTCAGTCTTTTAAGGCGTGTCATAACGGCTCGACTCTAAAATTAAGACTTGGGGTTCGAGTTTTTATTAATAAGACTCAGTCGTTATACTAAAAGACTCAAAAGACTTAAACGACTTAAAGGACTTGAAAGACTTGAACGACTCGAGTTGTTTGCAAAGGGCTTATATCTATTTTATGTCTTATTAAATCCGAAGTTCATAAATAAAAATGACGTAAGTAGTATGTAGTCACGTTTATTTACTTATAATAAAAATCGTAAAATAAATACCTTATGGGTTAAATAAAATCACGCCATACGGCTCATGACTCGCGACTCCCGATGCTATGAGACGCCTGTCGTTTTAGTCTTATAAGTCTTTTACGCTTCCTAGGGTTAAAAGACTGCGACTCGAATTAGTCTTCAGTTTTAGTCTTATAACTTAAGACTTGAGGGTTAAAAGACTAGACTAGTCGTGAGGCGTTAAAAATTAGTCGAGGTTTTTTAAAGACTGAGTCTCTTTCATCACTAATGGGTATTCAACACAAGCGCAGCAATTTTGCACGATTTAACCTTCGCTGGGTTCACGGAGTAGCAAATTAATTTACTTCCATTTTTAACCGACTTCAAAAAAGGAGGAGGTTTTCAATTCGACTGCATGTTATTTTTTTTTTTGTATGTATGTTACGCGATAACTCCGGTATTTGTGAGCCGATTTTCATGATTAATTTTTTGTTGGAAAGGGGGTAGTTCCATAGTGGTCCCATTTCATTTTGAAGAAAATCATCCACCTCTAAGGGTGGCTGGCTGTTCACGCATGAAGATTCACTTTTATAAATAGCGCCTAAATTTTACTTAAGGAGCAAATATTTTAATGGTTGATTTTGCTATTTCTCCAATTCAAGGCGTTTCTCTCTCAATCTACTTTGAGTAGTGAGAACTGATTTTTATTATCTCCAGTGTCTAGTCCTGTATAGTGGCGAACTAGGGGATATTGCAATAAAACTTAGCAAATAGACGTAATTCCACGTACTTTTGAGGTCGGTTTTTTAGTACTCTGTACTGAGATTATTATTAACATGCACTAACTGGGCCCTCAGGAGGTGGAGCTGGTGTCGAAGGAGCGGCGCAAGGAGGCGTACCGGTCGCGGCGCGCGCGCCTGGACGCCGAGCACGGCGAGCGCGAGCGCGCCTTCGTGGCCGGCCTGGCCGAGGCGGAGGAGACGCTGCTGCGCCGCATCCACGACAACCACCGCGAGCGCCAGGCGCTGGCCGACCGCCAGTACCTGCAGCAGCGCCAGCAGGTACCACGGCACACAAATTCGCAC